GAGGAGAGGGAGGAGGGGGGAAAAGGGAGAGGGGGAGGGAAATGGGAGGCAGGGAGGAGGCGGAAATCTTTTTTTTTCAATAAAAAATTATATTAAAAAAAGAGTCGTTAGTGAAACAACACCGAAGTATGGAACAATAATGTAAAAAAAATAACTGTCTTTGAACTCTTGGATTGCAATTTTAATCTATTGGTTGAGCATGCTGACAAGATCTGAAATCTTGAATACTCATCACAATGTTGAGCTTTGATCAGCTTCCTCTTGTCATCATTTTTACCATGGCTGCTTGTGTTACTAGAACTTCTCTGCACAGAATTAGGTCTATTTATAGAAATATTTATCTTGAGCCAAGTTCAGTATAGATGCATAGTTGACCTGTAAGTCACATCAGAGATTTTTGGATGATGCTAAAGATACTCAACTTTGGGGTCTCACGATTTGACTAACTTCAGGGGAAAGGAATGTTCTGACGCATAAACTCCTCTTTCGCAATTTCCTAATTAGGTATTCTAATATTTGAGTGTAGAAAAATCAGGATATAAATACTTCAAGAAAAGAGCGTAGACTTAATGAATGCATGTTTCCGGTGGGTGTAAGTATAATAAAAAACATACTACTAGATGTATTGTTTAATTTCCCAGGATATTTAAGTCTCTACAGTAAATATGTATATGCAATTTTTAAGAGAATATGGTTTAGTTAATGCCCAAGTTGTTAAACAGTTTCTGTGTTGTGTTACTCTTACATTCAGCATGAAATCATTTGAAGTGAGAACAAATACTCTTTCAAAAACAGGACTTTAAAACAGGAAGCTTTTGGTGTGAACTGAATGTCAGGGACACTAAACATGGCCATAGGGCAAATGGTAAGAATACTACAGGCAGCAAAAGAAAGCTGCTACCTCGGAGGAAAGAATGGCCTGGGCTTAGGAAGCTTTGTAATATACACAGGAGGAGAAACTCAGGCTGAAGCAACAAGCCAAATGAGTGTTGTTGAATGGCCATTGTGGTCCTCCAAGTGGCTAGTCACCTAGGACTCTGCTTCCATTGTCAGCCTTTAAGAACTAGCTTGAAAATATGCATGCCTCAGTTCTATAACTGATCTGAACACAGGTAAACAATCATGATTTCTTTGTAAGTAGCCACCCGTATTGGTTTATATTCCTGGATCATTTTATTTTTAAATATTATTATTAGGTGATAGTCAATGTATGAAATTATATGTACACAAACTTTTCAAATAAGGTATATAAAAGTGTTCTATGAATAAAATGCACAGTAAATTTAACTTATAAGTTATAATAATTGAACACCCCAGCTTGTGAGCACTTTTAAGAATCAGAGCGTTCCCAAAGCCTTCATCTGCCCCTGGGCTCCTTCCTTATCACATCTCAGCTTCCTTGTATCCTGAAGATAACCACTCTTTTGAGTCAATCCTTCCCCTCTTGTTCTGCGGTTCTTTCACTTACGCATGCTTTCCTAGAGAACACTCTCTAGAAATCTCCTCATTTTAAACTTTAAGAAAACAGCATCCTCTGGCTTAGTTTTGTCCAATCAATATTCATGGCCTTTAGGCTCAATCCGTGGGGCACCCCATAATTTCTCATAGCAGCTTCCGAGAACCAACTGCTGTTTCCAGTTGATTGTTTGAAAACTGCGCAGTGGCTGGACTGTATTATAGCAGGGAAATAATCATTCTGCAAACCAGTTTTTGCTAAGCATTTGCCAGCTCGTTGCTGACTTTATCCATCCTGTGTGTGCAGTTGAAATGCACGTGAGTCCCTACAGTGTGACAATTCCACAGTCCATTGGTTTCACCATCCATGAACATTCTAACAAGGCTTATCTTCATGCCCTGGTGGATAAGGCCAGTTTCTTGAAAATATTTATTTAGATACACGGTTTCTGGGGTTTCCATTCTATTTATATTTCAAGATGTTAAGACAATAGAAAACTGTTCCTAAGTTGTTTAGACACCACCACCAATTGAAAGTAAATCCCTGTCTTTGCTGCACTTTTTGTCAGCTTTCTTAAATAACACCAAAAATTGTTATAGAACAACACTTTATAATAGTGTCCACTTGATTTTTCCTGGTTTCTAAGGTAATGGGGCATATTTCATATACTTGACATTTGTATTTCCTCTTCTGTGACATGTTTATTCAGTCTGTTGATGATTTATCAGTGGATTTGTTGACCTTCTTAAATTATAGATGATCTTCATATTTGAACGTTCATCTTTGGTCAATAAAAACTATACTGCAGATAACTTTCATCATTTTGTGTTTTTTTTTCCCTTGGTGTTTTTGAACAAATAGTTTTTAATTTTATTTTTAAAATGTTCATGTATACGGCATGTGTGTTGACATGTATGGAGTATGCATGCCGGTATATGAACTGTGCAGATGTTTCCAAAGGCCAGAGGCTAGAGTCCTTTTCTTTCATTTCCCATCTGACTTTTGTTGGAGACAGGGTCTCCCCCCCCCCCCCCCCCCGGTTTCTGGAGCTCACTGATTATCAGGACTAGCTGATCAGCAAGTCTCTGGGATACTTCTCTCTCTGGTCCACCAGCACAGATATTTATAGGTGGGTTTACAGGTGTGCACTACTTTGTCCACTGTGCATATGTTGGGGGCAAGGATCTGAACTCAGCTCTCATATATAGGCAACAAACAATTTCCCTACTAAGCAATCCCCTCAGCGCCATGGCTCCTAATTTCCTATAGTTGAAGTTTTCGCTCTTTAACCTCAATCTTAATTCAATCTTAATTCAAGTTAAATTAATTAAAATGGTAAATTATAACATGAAAAGTGTACAGAATGTTTTTTTTGTTTCAGTAAGCATCTGTGAAATGTAAGTATGAAATTAAAAATATTTATGTTTATAAGCATTCATTATTTCGTTTGTTTGTTGTAAAAATCATTCAAAGCCCTCTCTCTAGCGCTTGGAATGCGTAGTGCATTCTCGTTTCATTGAATATCTAGTGGTTATAAACTTTTGTGTCTGTTTTAGGACACTGTCCATTCAGGAATAAGGAAAATATTTTCCTATTGTGATTTCTCTAATGATACTGATTCCATGTGATGTGTCCGGCTAGAATACACACAGCGAAGACAGCAGTAGAGCATCTTAGATGTCACTGGAGAAGCACTACATGGACCACTTGCTCTGCAAGCATTTTGAAGTACTCTAGATTTAGCTTCACAGGCTAAGTGATAGAGTTTGCACTGCATCCTATAGAAATGGGTATGGAATAAACACCATTAATTTTGAAAGACAATAAAGTAAACATCTGTGGTGCTGGCTGTCAATAGATTTTTGTCAACTTGACCCAAAACCTAGGCATAACTGGTTAGTTTTGGTCAACTCGATATAAAATAGAGTCACCCAGGAAGAGGAAATCTCGGCTGAACAATTGTTTCCATCAGATTAGTCTGTAGAGCATTTTCTTTGTTACTGACTGATAGGGGAGGGCCCAGTCCACCTCTGGGGTGATACTCCTGGGCATATGGTCCTAGTTGAGCAGAGCAGGCTATGGGAAGTAAGCCCGTAAGAAGCATCCATCCATGGTCTCTGCTTCCCTGCATGGTGGACTGTGACTTGGAAGTGTAAGCTGAGATAAAGTTAGCTTTGGTCGGAGACTTATAACAGCAGCATATACCAAACTACGACACCTAGAAAGCGGGTCTCAAGTGAGGAATTGCCTCCATCAGACTGGCCTTTGTGCATGTCTGGGGAATAGTTTCTTGACTAATATTTGATTAAGGGGGGCACAGCCTGCTGCAGATGATACCATGCTGAGGCAGGTGGGCCTGGGCTATATAAGAAATGTAACTGTGCAAGCAGCAAAGAGCAAGCAATTGAGCAGCATTCCTTCCTTCTGGTCTCTCCTCCAGTACTGCCTCCAGGTTCAAGCCTTGAGTGCTTGGCCTGGCTTCCTTACATGACAGACTGTAATCTGTAATCTGAAATAAACATTCTCTTCCCCACACTGCTTCTGGTCATGGTATTTTTATCATAGCCACAAGAAATCAAGCTAAGACACAGTACAGCGAGAAGAAAGGAAGGTATTTTACTAGTGAGAAAGGAGGAGAAAGGCACAGATCAGACTTCTTCAGGAAAAATGAAGTCTGTGTTAGAGAAGAAACAAGTAATAAGAAGTGTTAACACCAACTTAGCACATGAGAGAGAATTTGTTTGTTATCTCCAGTAAGATGTTGCTGTTTTCCTCCAAGAATATGAACTAGACCAGTGCCATGAGAACGGGAGCATGAGACATGCCAATTTTCAAAGAACTCACAATGTACTTTCACTTTCTATAGCGCCAACAGGGATAAATGACAGTCTAAATGGATAGAATTAGGGGCACAGTTTTGACAGTAGCCAACATATAGCTGCCTCTTCAGAATGCACACTTCCAAATTCCTTTCTTCCTTTGCCCTTCCGGGCCCAGTTGGGCAGGATGTACACGTGACAATATGGAAAAGACACTTCTGTAAATGATAAGGGTTAGTAAAGCTTCAATAAACACATTTGGATTTAAAACTTACCCAGTGAATCTGGCACCATCTCCTCTGGAGAATGAAGTAGTAGAGTGTCATCTGTCCTTTCCATCAGATTTTCCCCTTGAAGCCTAAACAGTTAAAAAGCATCATTGGAAACGGCAACCTGGCTAAATGGTGAACTAAGAAGTGTATGCCAGACCTCTAGACTCCGAAATCAAACATGATTCTTCAAAGTAAGCATGAACTTTCACTAAATTCATCTTAACCCCAAGTTGTTCCCTTTTTTTAACTTGTAAGAAAAGATTTTCTATCTGCTCTTAGATATACAGTTATGCTAGATCTGTTGTTCTCGACCTGTGGGTGGTGACCCCTTTCTCAGGTGTCACATATCAGATAGCCTGCATACCAGATATTTACATTGTAATTAAAACCACTAGCAAAATTACAGTCATGAAGTAGCAATGAAATAGTTTTATGGTTGAGGGTCACAATAACATGAAGGACTGTATTAAAGGATCGCAGCATTGGGAAGGTTTAGAACCACTGTGTTAGACTCCGGCATCTAAAGCCTTTACATCTTAGCCTGAGCAGAGAAATATTTACAGCAAATATTTTCACTAAACCACAAAATCTGTTAAGAAGAAGGAAAGTAAGTCTGATGCTTTATGTTCAGCTGACTTCAGGGTCCTGTACCCATGAGAGAGTTTTTATCATTGCTCAGAGGTTTTACACACACACACACACACACACACACACACACACACACACACTATCTCCTCCACATCAACCAGTGCGAGTAGAAAGGACAGGCTCTCCTTTGTCAGGGGTAGGAAGGAGGATCCTGCTGTGCACAACAGCCCAGTGCTGGCTAAAACACTAGTGATCCTCAGTGGAGGAAGATGGGGAAGGTCCTTTTCAGAGGAGTATCTCCCAGCTGGTGTATCCTTATGTCTATACAGAGAAATGATACCTGGCAAGATCATATTCAAAATAGAAAACACTATCCTGAGTGAGGTGTCCCAGACCCAAAAAGATGAACATGGGATGTACTCACTCATAATTGGTTTCTAGCCATAAATAAACGATATTGAGTCTATAATTTGTGATCCTAAAGAAGCTAAATAAGAAGGTGAACCCAAAGAAAAACATATAGTTATCCTCTTGGATATGGGAAGTAGACAAGATTGCCGAGCAAAAATTGGGATCTTGGGGGAGGGCTGGGATAGGGGTAAGGGGAGATGGGGAGAGAAATGTGAGAAGGGGAGGATGGGGGGAACTTGGGGAATTGGGATGGTTGGGATAAAGGAAGGATGGATATGGGAGCAGGGAAGCATATATCTTAATAAAGAGATCCAGCTTAGGGTAGGCAAGAGACCTGAACCTAGAGGGGTTCCCAGGTGCCCAGGGGGATGTCCCCAGTTAGTGCCTTGGGCAGCTGAGGATAAGGAACCTGAAATGGCCCTATCCTATAACCACACTGATGAATATCTTGCATAACACCATAGAACCTTCATTTGGTGATGGATGGAGATAGAGATAGAGACCCACATTGGAGCAGCGGAATAAGCTCCCAAGGTCCCAATGAGGAGCAGAAGGAGGGAGAACATGAGTAAGGAAGTCGGGACCGTGAGGGGTGCACCCACCCATTGAGACAGAGGGACTGATCTATTGGGAGCTCACCAAGGCCAGCTGGACTGGAACTGAAAAAGCATGGGATAAAACCGGACTCTCTGAACAATGAGGACTGATGAGAAGCCAAGAACAATGGCACTGTGGTTTGATCCTACTTCATGTTCTGGCTTTGTGGGAGCCTAACCAGTTTGGACGTTCACCTTCCTAGACCTAGATGGAGGGGGGAGGACCTTGGACTTTCTACAGTGCAGGGAACCCTGACTGCTCTTCGGTCTGGAGAGGGATGGGGAAAGAATTGGGGGGAGGGGGAGCGGTGTGGGAGGAAGGGGAGGGAAATGGGAGGATGGGAGGAGGCAGAATTTTTTTTATTTTTCAATAAAAAATACAAAAAAAGATCATATTCAACTCTGTTTATGAAGCACTCAGAAACTGTGTTCTCAGAACAAAGTGGGTATCAGCTATATATCACAGAATTCTTCCCTAAAAAAGCAAAGCACAGTTCTGTAAATGTTGAAGGAGACTTTGAAACATCCCTGAGCCCAGAAGTTTCTCCCAATGTATTCACATTTATTGTATGCAGGGCAAATGCTTTCCTAGGGAAATACTAACAAATGCATGGCATGTAATATTTAGTTTTGCTAAAAATAAAAGTATAATTCATAACTATACTTGGCTCCAGTGCTAAAATTCTCAGAAATACCTATGAATTTGTATACCATGGTAAATTCACAATATCTTGTTCTCTTTATCAGTTTGAAAATTATAAGTATTTGTAAATTATGCTCACATTTTTATAATATTGATTTGTGTATATTTCTCTATATACCACATATTACATTACTGCATATATATTACAGATATGCCATATCACATACTGCATAATAGCCTCTTATTTATATAACCATGTTTATTATATTGTGGAAGTTAACTAGGGTGGTCATCAGGTAAAAAGGCAGTTCTTGCCAAGACTGATGGCCAAGGTTTGATCCCTCAGACCTACATAGTAAAAGCAGGAAAATTACTCTTGCAAGTTGTCCTCTGACCCTCAACATGTGTGCCATGGCATGTGAAAACCCACACCCACAAATAAATAAAAATTTAAGGCTTGCCAAGAAGAATTTCCCCATAGCACATTTTTTCCATCAGCTTTTATACCTCAATAAGTTTTACCTCGAAAAATTCATGTTTTAAAATAATTAATGAACTATACTTTCCCTCAAACCTTCCTCACTACTTTCCCCCTTTCACTTCATGTAAACAAATTAGAAAAAAATATTTTTGATAACCCATAATAACAAATATTGGTTTTTGAGCTCACCTTTCCATGACTATTCAACCAAAATTATTTTTTTTAATGTGTAAAGGCACATTGCACATTTAAAGGTGTAAATATACTCATTATTAAAAATTCACAGGGGATAGAGAGATACCTCAGTGGTTGTGAATGCTTACTGCTCTTACAGAGAACCCGGGTTTGGGTTCTGAGGACATATATTGAGTGACTAACAAATGCCTGTATCTACAGAACCAGGGAATCCTATACCCACATATGCGCACATACACACACCTAGACACATAATTTTTTTTAAAAAATTAAAAATTCACATTTAAAAATATTCACAAATGCTTCAACATACTTGTATAATTAACAAGAAGGTTAAAATGTAAAAGGAAACTAAATTACCAACAAAAAGGAAAAGAATTAAGACATATATTCTATGCCCAGCTGGTGTCTCAGCAAATGTATGTGAGCCTGTAATCCCAGCACACAGGAAGTAAAGACAAAGGATCCCCAGTTCAATACCAGCCTGGGGGGAAAAAAAAAAACCTGTCTGAGGAACTGAAAACCAAAAATAAAATAAAAATGAATAGAAACCTTTTGTTGTTATTTTTTTTTACTCATCTGATGAGTCAGGAGAGGTAAATGCTTACTTGGTATTTATTAATTTGACCAGTGATGAACCACATGTTGCAAGGATCAAAGACAACTCTAATTGTCTTGGATTTCAGAGTCCTTGGTGTAGCTGAGTTGAACAGACAAATAGCCACAAATACATCCCAGCAAATGGGGCGTCCTTGAAGCTAGCTCATCTCTGTCCAAGCACTGCCCTTCAGATGCCTGAGAAGCTATTTGCTGTGACTTGGCACCTTTCCCCTAGGGAGCGATCTGCCTGACTACTCCGCCAATATTCCCCAGGCTGCAAGCCACACAGTGCTACTGTTGTCAGAGGTTAGGAGCTGCTGAGCAAACAAGGATTGTGGGGACACGTCCGGGAAATACAGCCTTGAAAACGGTGAACTGTTTTCATTTTACTTTTTACCACAAGACTTTCCAGGCTCTTACCCTTTGCCTTCTAAAGCCGCTCTTTCATATTAAAGAAACTTCTCTATACTTTCGACCCCTGTGCGGGATGCCCCCACTCCCCTTGTCACATGGAAGCTCTTCTGCTGGAGAAGGAGGTGGAGGTCAATGAGAGCATGTGCTTAGCATGAGCACGGAGGGGAAAGTGGTGTTAATACATTTCTCCTCTCCAAAGAAAGCTGCCTGGTCCCTCAACCTCAGGCTACTCAAGACTGTACAGATAAACCTTTCTGCTCTCTGGTGATAAAGACTACTCAAGGGGCTTCTGTTTCTTTCTTCAAACCTTATAGTGCTAATATCTGGAGTATTTGGGTTTTCGTGGGGGTGCACGTGTGAAAATCTCAAGGTTCCTTGACTTCCTCAGATCTGGAGAACATTCTTGGCTTCATCATCCCTAAACCAATGACATGAGTCTCACCGTCATTTGGTGTTAGAAATGTCTGAATCCATGTTCCTTGGAAATACTTCTGGCCTTTGTGCTTTTTCATAATGCCATTTCTGATAACATTTTTTTTCCTGGAATGACTAGTTGTATGTCCCTGTTAGCTATTCTGCTTTCCTTCTTGTCCTTTTCCCCTCCTCAGCTGGAGTTCATGCGTCTTCGGTTCCCTCTCCTGCAGTCCTCTGCTGCCGTCAAGATGACTCTACCCCCAGTCATCTGTGGTTCAGTGTGTTTATGCAACTGAATAACACTGATGCCCCTAAGACTCTCTACTTCTCAGGAGTACAAAGCAATGGTTTCCAACTCGAAAGTTAGGTTTCTTGGCTGTCTTTCTTCTATTTTTTCCAAGGACTCTCCAAAAACAACACTTCTTCTGTATCACTCAGAAAAATGAGTTCATCGGGAATAAACACCTTCATCCTCACACACAAGCTCCAAAATCATCTTCATTGTTTGTTTTCCAACTCACAAAGGAGGAATCTATCAATTGGGCTGATGATGGGGAGCCGCTGGCTCATGTCTCTTTTTTTCTTCAGTTTGTTTTTATCAACCTCCATCCTGCCCTTTTCATTCATTCTGAACATTTCCACTATCACTTCCTACAGGCTGCGAGCAAGCTTACTTCTCTTTCAGCTATAGACTGATGAACACACACACACACACACACACACACACACACACACACATACTAC